GTGCGCGCCCTGAGAAACTTCCCAGGGGGTCACCCATCCCAAGACTACTCCCGTGCAAGCACGCTTAACTTTGGAGTTCTTGGGGATGAGCTCCCTTAAAAGGAGATGCATCTTGTTGGTATGAGTAGTACTATTAATCCATTTATATTAAATCTCAAGTGTTACAATCACCCCCACTTAGGATCGCAACGTCCTCGTTGCGCCCTTAAACCAATCTCAATCAAATCCCAGAAACTTTTCCCCTGCTAGGTGTCTGCCCGATATCCAACGGATCAGCACACTGTCGCAGGGTTGCTCTGATACCATCTGTAACACCCCGGCCCCGCAGGACCCGAGATAGTTACTTTGGACCAATGGTACTGTCCTCACAAACCACCACAAGCCTTTACCGCGCACTTTGTCCTCACTCGTGCGCGCCCTGAGAAACTTCCCAGGGGGTCACCCATCCCAAGACTACTCCCGTGCAAGCACGCTTAACTTTGGAGTTCTTGGGGATGAGCTCCCTTAAAAGGAGATGCATCTTGTTGGTATGAGTAGTACTATTAATCCATTTATATTAAATCTCAAGTGTTACACACTGGTTCAAAATCCAACGAAGAGGAAGGACATCTGGAAATGAAAGTGAAGAGAGAGTCGTCCCTTGTCAACAATGACCGTCTGAAGAGAAGAAAGAACAGATGACCGAGCACATGATATTTGACCAGGAAAGTGCAATTGTTTCATGCGCATGTTTTTTTTTACTCAGTCCGAATAGTGACCGATTTCAGCTCCTTAACTCCAAAAGTGTGGCTGAGGTAGACCAACACCAGGCAAACCCAACAATCCAAGATTCAACAAGGAAATCGAAGCAATTAATCGACCCGTCCGTGAACAGTAAAATCCGCCCTAGACCAGTTCAATTTATGAACTGTTGGCCGAAAATCACCACTTGAATCTCAAATCCAAGCTCGGAAATGGAATCAGGAGAGAATTTCGCCCAAGCAACACCAAGAAAACTAAATCAGATGCCACCCAACCGAAGATCGACGAAGCCCATTGGTTTCACGTGTATGTCAACACCGTTCCAAAGCTCTGCCTTCTCTCATCCTGCGTCCAGATATGCTGTTAGTTGCTTCGGAGGATGTTGTGTCATCAGTCTCTTAGTAGAGAAGGGGAACGACGAGATCGGTCATGAAGACTCTCTAGCAGGATAATCGTAGTGGAGACGCCTCTAGCCTAGGGTTTTGTGAATAAAGAGAGAAAGAGTGATGTTTAAAGTTGATTAAGAGAATAGAGAAATAAAAGAAATTTTAGGTGTTAAAATATGAAAAAAATAATGTTTAAAGAAAATAAAATAAGGTGTGAACGTCACTATGTAATATTGATACTATTGTGTCAGAAACTAATGACACATATACATCGTAGAAAAGATATGTCTTATTTTAGTGACACTATATTAAAAAGTGTCACTAACAAAGTGTCACTATAAGCCTGTTTTCTACTAGTGGTGTACTACACCCATCTGCTACTATATAAATATGGCACTCACACCGCAACACACTTCACACACACTGCTACTAAGTTCACAAATCAACAATGGCTGAGAGCTCCAAGGCAAATGAAATTTGTTCCCTGATCAGAGGTGGAAGCACTCTGGAGACAGTTCTATCTCCATGATGATGAGGGACATATAGAAGTATAGAATGTTTATTTTGGCCATTTTCTCTTCCTTGAAAAATTAACACGTATGTATATGTTTTGGGTGGACAAGGCTTGAACATTTCTGTTTGTTTTATACAGTTGGTTTACCAAAAATCTTATACTCCTGTAAAATTTCACTACCATACATTTTCATATAGCAGTAATAAATAATAATAATAATAACAATAAATAATAATAATAATAATAAATAATAATAATAATAATAACAATAGTAGTAATAATAATAAAAATAATAATAACAGCAATAACATATGCTTTTGTACAGGGAGATGAGGAGATTTAATCCATGCAACTTTCAAGAGGCTGCTGGCATCATAGAAGTCAGAATCAAGAAAAATGGTGTGTGTGACAAGAAATAGTTCTCTTTCAAGAGGCGGCCTGAACCTGCACCCCATCCTGCCGCAGCGGTCCAACCGCCAAATGAAAACGGGGACGTCGGTGGAGGCGGAAGCAGACCTACACAGCCGCCGCCCGCCGGTGAACTGTTGGACCATGGCCCTGAAGTTGGAGAGGTGTGGGTTGATAGAAAACGGTGGTGGGAGTCCGCCGTGACGCCTGGGGCCTCCGTCGGGCTTGCTTCGCCACCCGGCCTCAAGGCTCAGGCCGTGAGACGAGGTGTGTGGTGAGCTGGTGGCCGCGTGGCGATGTGTTGTGTGTTGCGTTGACAAAATTGCACCCAGCTGTAGTCAGGGGTTAATTTTGAGTTTCCTAAATAAGGAGGAAATGCATTAGGATCTACGTAGTATTTTCTTTTCTTTGCTCTGTTCCTTTTTGATATCTGAAAAATGAAAATTCTATGTTGTCCCAAAGTTTCCAAAGCAATCTCGGTGCTTTGTTATGTGGTCTAAAAATATTAAATTCTGATTTGATGGCAATCCATTATTCATATGAAAACAGTGTTTTGACTCCGTCAATACTGTTTTTCCCTGCATCCGTGCACCGTCAATAAAATACACTCAACATATTTTTTTACATATCAATTTAGTAAAACTTTAATTAATTTATTATAAGTAATGTTTTCCGTTTAATATTATCCCTAAATAATTGTGAAATAAAAAATACACATTTCGATATAAAAATAAATAAATTTCATTAATTTTTTTTAATGTTTTCGGTTAACAAAAATGAACTTAGTTCAAGTAAAGTTCAATTATAAAATATTCAGTTATTTGTGAAGATTCCATGAATTAAAAATTTGTGTTTCATCGTTTTGTAAACGGAAGAAAACTTCAACAGTTAACACTTAAGAATTTTTGTTTCATTTTATATATTACATATTGGTGTCATATGAAAGATCATAAAATTTTATGAATTTTGATATATATTTTGAAAAATTTGGAGAACAAATAAAAAAGTTACAAGAGTTTAAAACAATTTGGGGTTATAATGATGTCACCATGTCCATGATGTCAACGAAAACATGGTTTGGCTGTCAACCCCTCCCTCTATATTTACACTCTTCCACTCCCCTTTCCACTTTTACTCCCCCTTTTAATCCTCCACTACACACAAATAAGAGTCTAAAATCTCCATTTTTAATCTTTTGACTCCTAATCCCCAACCACTACAAATGGTCTAAAGAATGGGGTGTGAGATGATACGGAGTATGTGCGTGTAGTACTATGTATTAGGAATTATTTATAAATTATTTGTATATTATATGGATTTTATATTAAATTTAATTTTTCGGGGTTTTTATTGGTTCGGGGTTTAAAGTAACTAAAACCTTATATTTTTTTTATTGTTATAAATTCAACGCGCAAAATAAAAAATTACGTGTTTAATGAAAAAATTGGCTGATAAATTTGAAAAATACGGTTATTAGACGGGCTCTTAGACAATTGATAAAATTTCAAATGGAAATTTTTTATTTTTATTAAAAAATTTGGTGACCCTACTTTTTGAGCATAAATGATCACCTTTTTAAGAGCTCTTTGGTGATAAGCCGAAATTAATGTGCACTTCCATATGAAAATGGCTATAAATGTTTGACCTTTCTAATGGATATTTTGTTTTCATTTTGAGAAAACCATTCCAATATTTTGTGTAGTTTACTAATATTGTCATAAACTTATTAAAAATCTCAAAAGATCAAGAAATTCTAAACATAAATGGTTGTTGAAAGTTCAAAATACAGTTTGTTTCTCTTCCTCATTTAACTGCTCTCGAATAATGAAGACATCAAATATGGCCAATATATCTGAATTAGTGTTTGTACATCAAAAGTTTATAACAGTCTCTCTACATATAATGATTTGTCAATAGAAGAAGAAAATGAAATGTATTACCTTAATAAATGCATGAGGTGAAGGTGCGATTATAGCCTATTATAAAAAAATAAATCAATTCAAACAATTATATTAAAATTCATGTATAGGTTATGTGTTGAGACTTAATAGTCGTATGATTGAAAAAATTGATTTGTATTGAAGATGACAAATAAATGTAACCCAATATTAATGTTATATATGTAGGGAGAAGTATTTCAAAATTGGAATTTTATCAATTCAGGACTCGAAAAATAGACGAATTATCAATATGAGACCTGAAAGATGAAATGTAGCGATATAGGACCGGATGATGGAAAATTATAAATTTAGGACCTGAATGATTGAAAATTATCAATCTAGGACCTAAGTTGTCATGAATTTTATTATTTTAAATTTTGAAAATAAATAAATATTATTTAATTTTATTAAACTAATAAACTTTTGTGAAGAAAAGTTTATCAAAAATTAGCAATGAAATTAATAAAAATTTAAATAAATTAAAACCTATGAAATGTTAGGTCCTAGATTGATAGTTTTCCATCATTCGGGTCCTATATTGATACATTTTATCTTTTGGGACCTGAATTAATAATTCTCCTATCTTTCGAGTCCTGAATTGATATAATTCTTCTATCTTTCAAAATTTGTAGGCCCTTAGAAACTCATTACTTCCCCGTCCCAATAAAACTCTGATTTTGACTGGGCACACATATTAAGATAATGTGATTTGTGTGGTGAACAGTATAATATTTACTTCATCTCTGATCTTTCAAGATTGTCTGCAACAACTTTGAAATTCTACTAATTAAGTAATTATAGCTTTTTATTATATATCAATTCTTATTCTCTTTTAATACATTTACTCATTCGATTAAAAATAAAAACCTTTATTGACTAATATTATTAATAAATAAGATAATATAAATTTTACTAATTTAGTATGTATAATAAAGCAAAAAACTGTGTACCAGGCAGGAACGAGAAGAGAACACTGAGACCAGAGAAAGAGGGCTATGGCTTCCTTTAGCGTCCCTCCGGTGCTAACTTCCCCTCGTGACGATGCTATGCACCTTTATAAAGCTTTCAAGGGTACTTTTTCATTCTAGGGTTTGGATTTCTTAAAAGCTATTTACGATTCTTTTCTTTCCCTTTCCTGTTATATTTCCAATTTAAATGTTTCCCTAACTTTTGTGCGCATTTATGTGTCGTAATTCATACATGCTCCCTGTATCCCTTTATGGAAGTTACACTAGCTATTTTCGGGTCTATTGAATTCTCTTTTAGCTACACATATTCATATTTAAGAACTTTTGTCCTAGTTTTAAATATATGCATTTTAATTATTATTATTATTATTAGTTTATAGATTAGCAGGAGAGAGTTAAATTTTGTCCAATAACTTCTTAATCCAATATGTACTACGTAATAAGCACTTGCTGGAATCAATTTACCCTTCTGATACAAGTTGCAACATGATAGACAGATCTTGGTGAGTTTATCTCATAGTTCTTGGATGCTTGAAGTTAGTTTACAAAATTGCATCCAAATATTTAACAAGTCCCCCAGATGTTTTTTTATCCACAGTACATATTATCATCATTTAAAGATGCTCGAACATGGTATAATGTTCATCCTGAAATTACCAGCATGTTTATTGTATTAAATTTTGCAACATTAGTTGGATGAGAATATGTGTGGAGGATTGCTATTTTTTTTATTTTTTAACTCTAATTTCATATGTCGATTCATGTTAGCTGACCCCAAATTTTTTGGAGTAAGGCTTGGATGTTGTTGTATAAGTTGGTTCGAAAGAAAGTTGAAGAGAGTTGTATAAAAAATCACTATCTAGTTCCGGTGGGGTTAACTTTATGTAGATGTATTCTACCAACCGTCAACATGAGAGCTGAACAATAACTTTGTCATTTAGATTCTCATCTGTATAGTTGATGGAGAAACTTCACATGAGATTAACTCCACTCTGTGAATCCAAACATACATGATTTAAATTAAGATACGGAGCAGTAATTATCTTATGTAACACTTATACTTAGGGATAAATTATCTAAACAATATCAACCTCTCCATTCTCTATCTTCCAAATCTTTTCAACCAAACAAGAACTAATGATAGTCTAATATAAAATTGTAAATTTGTAATCACCTAATTACCTTCTATCTGCCCCAGGTTTTGGGTGCGACACTACAGCGGTTATCAATATCCTCGCACATAGGGATGCTTCACAGCGTGCTCTTATCCAGCAGGAGTATAGAGCTATGTACTCTGAGGAGCTCCACAAGCGCTTGTCTTCCGAGCTTAGTGGTGATGTTAAGGTAAACAGTGAAACGGAACATATCTTTTGTCATTTGACCATTTCTCTTCAACTGATTCTTTTAACACTAATCCCTTGTTTAGACTAAAAGACAGAGGGGTGAGTGGGGGTGGGGTTAGACTCTCCCAGTGTTTTTGCGCAGTGTAAGAGTAAAATACTAGGAGGTGGTGAATTGCGCAGTGTTTTCAATCCCGGATAGCGGAGCGCAGCGGCGAGCCCCAAAAACGCTATAACGGTATAGCGGATAGCATGACCGCTATTTAGACTACTTACAAATATAATAGATAAGTAACTACTAGAAGCATATACTCCGTGTAATACATTACATACACATTTTAAATTCAAATAGTATGATATATGCCAATGAAGCCACGAAGGTGGCAAACATCTTAAGTCATAACATTTATATATCCTAAATTACTTATAAATACACTTTAGTTTTATGAGCAAAACTGAGATGATATTAATGACAGTAGACTCCGTACGATATTATAAAGAACTTTGTTGTACAAGAAGAATAATGAGAAGAAGAAAAGAGGACTGCAACAAAGGTTAATTTTCTTGTAAAAGATGTTGCAGCAGAAGTAGAAGAATGAAAGAACTCAAGAAGATGAAGCAGCAGATTCTACCAGTGGAAAGAAGCCAAGAGGGGTGCAAAGGTTGTCGTTCTTGAAGGTGATGTCATCGCAGAGCAGAAAGAATAAGATACGTTTGTATGTGTTTGCACTTCTACGCACGTGCAGAAAGGTTTTAAGTGATTAAAATCTTAGGCTAAAGGGTCAAATAGGTACATGAACTAACTTAAAGTGTTCAATTAACCCCTTATAAAGGAGTTTCTGCCCGGACGTCGCCAATTGGGGCGGTTCCCGGTGGAATTTTTTGATGAAATTTTTTGACCATCTTCTTCATTAAGTCTAGTTTACCCATACCAAATTTCAGCTAAAAATTCAACCGGGAAGGCAGTCGAATTATTTTCCGAAATGTACTGCGCTGTTTAATTTTTCAAAAAATCATTCGACTGCCTTCCCGGTTGAATTTTTAGCTGAAATTTGGTCTGGGTACACTAGACTTAATGAAGAAGATGCTCAAAAAAATTCATCAAAAAATTCCACCGGGAACCGCCCCAATTGGCGACGTCCGGGCAGAAACTCCTATATAAGGGGCTAATTGAACACTTTAGGTTAGTTCATGTACCTATTTGACCCTTTAGCCAAAATCTTATTTTAAAAGACAAAATTACCCTTCTACCTCAACATGAAGTAAATAATACGTAGATAATACGCAGATCCTTCCGTCGATCGATTGCGCCGCTATAGCGTCCGCCTTCATCGGAATAGCGCGCCCGCTAATGCGGCCGCTATATCCGCTACACCCAAACGCGACGCTACAGGTACTCTGGTAGCGCCAATCTTGACCTACGCTCCGCAATACCGCTATAGCGCGCGATAGCGCCATTATTGACATCACTGGAATCGCGTATAAAAAATGAAAAAGGAAGAGAGAGCAGATATAACAGTAGCAAAAGTAATACTTTAGAATAATTTTTATGTTTAAGGAAAGGTGAAACAAATTATGAAATAAAATAACAGTCTCAAAATATTCCAAATTGGGGGGTGAAATATGAGAACATTGGAGGATTTATAGTTCCTCCACTCCCTCCCTCCCTAAGCCTCCCAACCAAACACCCATGACTCCACTGTTTTTGCATCATCTCCAAATCCTCTAACCAAACAACTAAACAAGATCTAAATGTAACTGTGAAACTTATCTGTTATCACCATTACACAAAAGCTAAGAAAATAAATGTGCTAACTGCTAAGTTTCATCATATATTTGTTTTATGCACTATCATCTTCTTTATGCATTTTCCATTAATTCAATTTTCATATTTTAATCGGTCAGAGAGCAGTTTTACTTTGGGTGGCTGACCCGGCAGGACGAGATGCAACCATAATCAAGCAGAGTTTGCATGAAGCCAAAGATCTCAAGGCCGCGACCGAAGTGATATGTTCACGGATTCCATCTCAGCTTCAATACCTTAAACAAGTCTATCACTCAATGTTTGGCCTTTACCTTGAGCATGATATTGAAAACCATATGACTGGGGATCACAAAAAGGTTTGTCTTCACTCCCTTTTCATCCATGTGAACGGTTAGCTCAAAGTGAGTAGACGACTTTTGAGTGAGTATGGCTACATGTTTGAAACCCTGTGGGATACATATTCGATCATTGCATTTTTCTAACTGACTTGGATGGATGTGTAAGATTATGGCATGTTCTCGATTCCATGCCCTATTGTTTTTTAACCCTTTTTCAATTATCTCTAATATATTTATGTGTTTGTAGTATCCTTCTAACAATTGCAGAGATTCTTCATGTTGAACTTTCATAAAAAAGACAAATCCTGAAGGCATATTACCAAAATTACCGATGATGAAAATATACTGATATTACCGAAAATTTCACCAAAACATTTGTATTTTGAGGTGTACGATATGGATCTTGGGATACAGAAATTTCTCTATAATCGAGAAAATGTATGAAAGAGTTAAAAAAGTATGTATAAAAAGTAATTTTCAAGAAAACCTGTAACATGTCGAGAAATATCAAGTACAAAAGCATATGTAGTAGTAGTAATAATAATTAGTATTATTATTCCTACTAGGACAATAATAATCATCATATTACTATTACACTCCCTCCGTATCACAATAAGTGTCTCACTTTCCTTTTTAGGTCGCATCAAAATAAGTGTCTTACTTCCATTTTTAGAAATAAATCCACTCCAAAAGCAACTACAATACACTTTAATAAAGTAAACTGTACTGTAACAGTACCAAAAATCTCCTTCTTTTTCAAAAATCTCCTACTTTTTCAAAAATCTCCTACTGGGACACTTATTCTAATACGGAGGGTGTATGAATTATATCATTATGGCAATATTATTATTGGTGTTGCTATTATTTTGTAGTATAACTATAATAACAACAATAATTATTAATATAATATCATAATCATTAGTTCATTACTATCATTATGGTGACGTATTATTGTTGCTATATTACTACTACAACTATTATTATTACTATTACTAAAATACAAAGTATTTATCATTGTTATTATTACTACGGAGTATTATTTGTAGTTGGTACTAGCATACGTGAGCGCCCCTCGATATGATGGCCCAGAAGTTGACCCAGCTGCAGTGCAACATGATGCTAAAACTCTTTATAAGGCAGGTGAAAAAAGGCTTGGGACTGATGAGAAGAAATTCATACAGATATTCTCTGAAAGAAGCAGGGCACATTTGGCTGCAGTCATATCTGCTTATCATGTCTTGTGTGATCACTCATTGAAAAAGGTGAGAAACTGACATTGCCTGAGTTGATGATTTTTAACTGTCTAATGCCTATCAACAACTGATACCGTCTAAAATTTTTCACAGGCGGTTAAAAGTGAAACCTCAGGGCTTTTTGAGTTTGCCCTCTTGACTATTTTACAGTGTGCTCAGAATCCGGCAAAATACTTTGCTAAGGTATGCTGCTTGCATGAAAATTTCATTTTCTGCAATAAAGAATCTAGGGTAGTGTCAAAACTCAAAAGAATACATACAATGTAATTGGGAAAATGACTATCTTGGTCCTTGAGTCACTGTCCTAGCCCCCATTGTGACCTTCAATGTAGTGAAAAAAGCTAGGGTTAGACAAGACCATATGATATAGGGCAAGACCTGAGCAGGGAAAGAACATAGTCGGACAAGGATCACATATGTTTTGTTCAAAGGGGATTGATTACTCATGCTCCTTGACTTTGTTAAAGGCTTAATTTGGTTGTTGATTGCGCAATTTGGACCTAATTTAGTTCTCAATACATATATGGTTCTAAATAAGAGAAGCATTTTGTCAGTTCGCTAAATGTATGCTCAACTTAGGACTCGACTATGTAGTTTATACCCGATATAGACCATGAGGGGTTCGAATACCCCTTCAAATAACAGTAAAACATGCCTGAAAAATGAGTTCGGTCTAAATTGCACAGATGAAGACCTAAATGAGTCCACTTGTAAGTCAAAGACCTAATTGAATAATAGCAACTAGTGGAGGGACTTAATCTGGCATTAACTCTAATGAGAATGCATATTCTCTTCCGGTCTGTTTCATGTTTTAAGTATACATCTGTGAATTTCAACAGACATTGCGAAAGGCAATGAAAGGAATGGGGACAGATGATAATCATGATACCACACTTATGAGGGTAATTGTGACACGAGCTGAGGTCGACTTGCTGTATATCAAAGCAGAATACCACAAGAAATACAAGAAATCTTTGCATGATGCGATTCATTCAGAAACTTCTGGCCACTATCGTGCGTTTCTTCTCTTGCTTTTAGGTCCCCCCAATCACTAGCAGAACTTCTTGCATGACACTGTGCCCACGCTTCTACTAAGGTTTTATTATGTATAATAATCAGACACACATGGCACTGCCTACATTGTATCTTATTACTGAAAATGCATGTCTGCCAAATTATTAAGTTGCGGATCAAACATGTCTGTGCGAAGAAATAGACTTAGGCCTAGATCTGTCTGTTACACCAACCTATGTCTCATTCATTTGCCCATAACATAGACAGACATATGTTGCCAAATTACACTTCTCTGTGCTGGATATTATTCACACATACATGTTTTATCCGTGACTAGTTTTGGAGACATTGTTTGTATGGAAGGGTGTACAAAATACAGCATTTTTTATCCTAAAAAAGCGTTCATTACGAAATAAAAGAATGTTTCAAAATAGTGTTGCTTATATTTCATGGGCATGCCAATTGTTGTCGTTGCCAATTTCATGGAGAAAATGTGTTAACTACTACTGTCTCAATATTAATTTCTCATTAGTTCTATGCCTCCATATAGTATATACCCTTCGCATTTCTCCAAGTGTACACATGGAGTCATGGACCCTTATTTATTCATCGAATTTGAACACAATAAAGTGATAAACACGTTACTTTTTAACTCATGTATTTTTTCTTTGTAATAGTTTTTTTTTTTTTTAAATTTGTCTTTGTAATAGTTATATCCTAATTATGTCATGTATGGTACTCCGTGCTTTTTATTTTTTTTTATATTAAATTAGTTATTTGTAATTTGACTTTAATGGATATACCATGATTGTTTGAATACGAAACGAGCATTTAAAATTTTAAGAAACTTTGTCAAGATTTGTGTTCTGCAACATCTAAAAGTAAGTCTTACAATTTTTTAAAAAATGAAAAAATGACATGTATATTACTTATAGTTTCCCTGGAAAAAAATATGATTAGTTATGATCTTGGACAAAAATATTACTAGTCATTTTGTACGAGTAACTGAACAAGAGTCGTTATAGTGTATTATAGACTGACAAGTCAATGGTAGTTGATGAGTCACTGAGAATTAGTCACTGAATATGTCATTATTTGGAAATTTTTAATGTAATTCATATTTTTGTCTTTTGCATTTAATTTATAAATATTTATGGGGAAAAAGCCTTACAAATATCCCTTTAACTTGTCAATTTTATACTCTATAGTCTATAGGCCAAATTAGTTAATTTTTGTTATTCCGTAGAGTTTACGTTATACTAAATATAATTATTTACGTTAGTGTTATGCGAAGCAAATAATGTTTCATATTTGAAAAAATATACCCCGTACCCAAAAATAGGGAAAATAAGTAAAATCTAATGATTTTGGCGACTTGAGAGTTTCAGTTACGGATAATCGCATCCACCTGCAACTATGCAAGGTTGCAAGTGGATATAGAAACTAGGCCTGGACTCGGGCCGGGCGGCCTGACCCGGAACCGGCCCGGCCCGGTGGCCCGGTCCACCGACGGTTCGGGTCAAACCGGCCCGGTGGTTCCCGGTTCCGGGCCCGGGCCTTCCATATGGTGAACCGGCCCGGCCGGTTCGGGCCCGGTCCGGGCCGGAAATATTTTTTTTTTTATTTTTTTTAAAAATTTTTTATGTTTTGGGTTAGATTAGGTATTTTGGTCCATTTGAGGTGGTTTGGGGTGGTTTGGGGTTGAGAAAGAGGGGTAGGGGATTAAATAAAGAAGCAAAAAAAAAGGGCGGGTGGCCCGGCCCGGTCTGGCCCGGAACCGGCCACCCCCGGTTCGGGCTCGGGCCTCAATATTCTAAACCGAGGCCCGGCCGGGCCCAGGCCCAGGCCCGAGGCCTGAACCGGCCCGGTTCAGTCCACCCCTAATAGAAACATTAAGAGCTGTGGGAAATTACCACAGTAACATATGTAACAAATACTTCGTTAAATGTGGCAATTCTGGCACTTTTATTAAATGTTTATACTTTTATCTGTATTTTATTTACCACAGCGACAACCAGGGAGGTCAAACCAAGTTGGAAATTACCGGTACAATACAAGATTTCATTAAACTCCGCCATGAGACCATTTTTTGGTATCATGCATGTGCCAAGTCAGGATAAATAAGGATGGTGTTGTGATAGGCGCGTGCAGCCAACAGTATCACTTAGTCATATCACATGACATGAATCAAAATATGAAGGCCCAAATAGACGTGTGTTAGGGGAGTCCAAAGCCATATGCTTCTTCTTGGGTTGGATGACAATCATGAGAGTATGGTTTTGGAGAGAGCAAAGTGGAGGGCTTTGGATCCAAAGTCATATCGATTCATGTTAGTCAACCCCAATATCTTTTGGGACCAAGACTTGGATGTTGTTGTAACTTGTAATACAAGATCTCATTAACTAAAATATTTACACACAAAATAAGATTCCTATCAAATTCGGAATGGACCATAACCTTCCAACAGTCCAGCCTATCTAATTATCTAAAAATAACTATTTGGAGAGTTCTCAAAGAGTTTTCGAAAACATACGTTTATCCGAGAGCTTCCGTGCTTCATAGGTGATCGGTACCGGTAGAAATAGCTCAAGTGGACATAGAGGCCGTTTGGCAACACTGTTTTTCGGCTTATCAGGCTTATCGGCCAACTTTTTCACCAAATATATAACTTTTGCTTTCACACGCTCAATTGTGTAATAAGCCAAAAAAGTATGGTTGGAGTTACTTTTCTGGCTGTATTGGCTGAAGTTACTGTAGATGACCATTTTAGCTGTTTATACATATAATTTTTTCTTTATTTTATTAATAAAATATATTTTAAAAATATTTTTTTCTTAAATCAGCAGAATCAGCCAATGCAGCCAGTTCAGCCAGAACATCATAAATTTCAGCAGAATCAGCCAAATCAGCCGATTTTGGTGCTACCAAATGGGCTCATAGTATGTAAAAAAAGGGAAAAGGTGCAAATAGACCCATGTACTAACCAAAAAAGGTCAAATAAGCCCTTATTTAGGAGACTCTGTCCGGCCGTCGCCATTTGGGGTGGTTCCCGGTGTAATTTTTTGATGAAATTTTTTGAACATCTTATTTATTAAGTCTAGTTTACTCATACCAAATTTCAGCTAAAACTTCAACCGGGAAGGCATTCAAATGAATTCTTGAAAATAACTGCGCAGTTAGAAGGGCAATTATCTTCAAGAATTCATTTGAATGCCTTCCCGATTGAAGTTTTAGCTGAAATTTGGTATGAGTAAACTAGACTTGATAAATAAGATGCTCAAAAAATTTCATCAAAAAATTCCACCGGGAACCACCCGAAATGACGACCTCCGGACAGAGCCTCCTAAATAAGGGCTTATTTGACCTTTTTTGGTTAGTACATGGGCCTATTTGCACCTTTTCCCGTAAAAAAATAATAGAATCGGTATAAGTGTTATATTCAGAACCAAAGGCTACCTATTATATTTCTGAGGGCTTACAAGGATTATATTGCGGTGGATCTTTATAACAAAATTTGGGATATTTAACCATGCGATACTTGCAAGTAAATATTTGTAAAATGGGTTTCTAACCTAGCTAATTAGTACTGAACAGGGTTTGGTACTATTTGAGTCCTGACCGGGTTATTTTTTTTGTAATCAGGTGTCCTCGATTTGGGTCTCAACGTTAATTTTTTTTCCATACCGAAAAAAAAAACTGGGCTGGAACCCTAAATGAGCAGGTTGAGCCCGAGCTTCACTACCATTTGACGAGGACTGGACAGTCTCACTTTGAAACCGGAACCGGACTAACCAGTGTCCATGTCTATCCTTATCGGGTCAGAACAATTTGTACAAAAAACCGGCTCTTATCCATGTACCAGAAGTAATGTTCAAAAAATGACATGATTGAGAGAACTCAATCATCGGTTAAAAATGGCTATATATATATAGTTGATGATCTAGTACACCAAACCAACATAAAACTATACTCAACCGATTGGGATCGAACCACAGAATTGGCCGGATCAGAGTGAAGTTTGGGTCTGGCTAACAATTCTAATCCTGCATTTTCCCGATAATTCAAACCTAAAATGATATGGTTCCATTTTGATGCTAATAAAAAAAGGAAAACAATTTAAATACCGCAAGTTTTAAATGGACGTGAGGTAAGTATCCTAAATTTGTACATGTAATAAAAATACCTCAAAGTTTATATAAATAATTATCTTAGCGCCATCATAATATGTTTTTTTCACAAATGTAATTCAGGTGTTAAAGTACAAAATTTAAATGAAATAATTCCAAATATATAACTAAAATAAAAGTAGTGGATAAATATGTGACTCTGGTAACTTTAGTCACTATAATTGTATTCAAATATTACACCACAGTGACTATAAAACTTACTCTAGTAACTTATAATCACATGTTTGTCCATAATTTTTTCATCAGTAACTTTGTAGGAAAACCTTCAATTTAAAATACTTTAGACATTTATAAGGATGTAATTATTAATCTAATGTCAGCATTTAAAATAAATTACATTGAAAAATAAGTTTATATTGTTATTTGCACATTCAAAAATGCTAAGATTATTTAAATTACTTAACACTATAATTTACATTTCTGAAAGAAAAGCATTATCGTGATGTTAGGATAACTTTTTGTATAAAGTTCGAGATAATTAAATGTACTCAATTGAATGTTTTCACAAAGTTCGCGAATTTGATTGATCTGGTTAAAAGTTCGAGGACCTAATTAACTTTTTCATGAAAGTACAAAGACCAAATTGACAATTTTCCCTGACATTAAATATGAAAGTTTGAGATGTTTACATCACACTTCTTAAAAGGCTAGCGAAATTAATTTATTTTGTCCTATAAAAAAGAATGACACTTCATCAATTCTAAAACTGATCGGATGATTGTTTGAAAAAAGGAAATTGCTATGTGTACACAGCATTGTACACACAACCCTACACATCATAAAAAGCCCACCCCCTCCCTTTTCTAACCCATTTACCCCCCCACCCTCTCTCCTCCATTCCAAACGTCACCCGCTGCGCAGGGAACGATTTGTCTGTCCCAATTTTTTCGAGTTGTCTGTGATCTCTTCCTTCTCTAAAATGGTGGTCTTCTCTGTTACCGGTGGTGATCGAGTGTGTATGGCTGCGACGACGAACTCCATGGAAGCTAATAACATGCATCGCGGAGACGACAAAGCACGTCTGGGGTGGATATGGGAGGATATTTTCGGCCCGAGTCCCGCTAACACTCCAGCTGTGCTGGAAGAGTGTGCACTAGCGACGGAGGGAGGGATGCAAGATCATAAAGAAGACACGACGGAGAAGATACGACGGAGAAGATACGACGGAGGGAAGGCGTTGAACACACTCCGGCTGCCATGCAAGGCGATGAAGGGTTACCGGATGGTAACACTGTGGAGGCTGAGCAAGGTAGATGATTACGTAGTGTCCTTTCTCCATGGTTGTTATGTTGTGGTGTTATGAAGCTTCACAAAACACGGACAAATAATATTGTCTGTTTTTGTATGTAGACAATTACAAATGTCTATGTGTAGACATTTATGTATTATGAAATATGGGAACATTATGAAGTTCATAGACTTCTTTTAGAATGTGGGTATAATACGTAGAGCGCTTTTAGAATGTCATTATAATATGGTGTGTAGCATATAATGGGCACACAACTATTTTTTACCCAAGGAAGTAGGGTGTCGAACCACAGAGAAGCTGGAAATAAAATAATTAAGCACAAACTAAGGATTAAAGTTGGGAGTGCGTTTCTTTTGATTTTTTTGGTTGCTTGGAAAAGTAATAAAATAAAAGTGATTGAGATGAGAGATTTTTATCAACACAAAGTTCAACCAATAGCAAGTAGGGGTAGAAATTGGTAACTAATTGTTCAATGTTTAATTGAAAGAAATAATTGCTAATTTTATTCGTAGATAGATTGTGAGAAGTTGTGGATAAATATTTTAGGACCCAACACAAGTCATCTAAAATAGGTAACTAGTCAACATTTCCCAGTGATGGCCAAAACGAGACTAGTTGTTTAAGTGCAATGACAACCTTAATTATTAACTATATTATTTACCCAACCCCGTGGTGTAAATAATATAATTAAATAATTAAATTCTCCCGTAAAACTTCAATCCGGGACAAGGTAAAAGAAGTTTAACGGTGTGTTCAGAAAGTGTTCATTTGTGTATTTAACAAACAATATGTTTATGATTGAGTACTCATAATATATATCACAAACATAACATAATTAATTTTCTGGACACAACAATCTAAATAGAACAAACTTAACAATTAAAATCAATACAAATTAAAACATGATAAGAACAATTAATTAACCAATTTCTAGCCCCAAATTTATTTAGCTATACATGTTGGGAAGCTTAGAAATAGATGAATTCATGATTGAAGTACAAGATTTAAAGAGAAAAGGAAGATCAAACTTGTGATAGATGACAATCCTTGGAGCTTGGTGCTAATCTTGACTTTAATCTTGATTGAGAAAGTGATTAATTGATGTTGAAGATTGGTTGATGATTTGGAGATGAAGAATGAAGAGAGGAGGAGAAAATGATTCTGGGAGGTGTAGAGAGAAGTTGGATCGAGATTATGTGTGGAGGGAGATGGATTAAGGCAATATAATGATAAGGTGATTAATCATTAATCATTTACGGAACCAAAGAGTATATGTAAAAGAAAACGCATCCAAGGGCCAATAATGTGTAGCAGTGCAGCGGCCATGGAGAGCTGTTGTGACACGGGGGTTGTGGGTTCGAACCCATGCTTAGACTTGTTTTTTTCTTCTTTTCATTGCTGAGATGAGATGCAATTAAATAAATTTCCAGCTCAATTATCTCAACTTCGACATTCAGCTCACTGGTTCAGGAGGCCTCTTTTTACCTTAGCAACTTGGGTTCGAATCTCACCTCCACTTTTTGCTTCCTTGCTTCAATGTACTCTATATTTGCTTTGAAGGAGATTCCACTTTTGTTGTCGTCCAACTTGAACTTTTATTTTCTTCTCTTCTTCACACTCAAATGTATCCAAATAGCATCAAATGTACCTGAAAATATAAAATACCCGTGTAGAACCGCACTAATACAAACTAACATCAAATACTAAAAATATGTACAAAGATACAACTTTATTAACTAAGATTAACAACAAACTAAGCCTAAAATGTGTGTAAAATATAAGTATATCATAATACTATTTGGTTTGTCTGTATTTCATTTTACAATGTCTGTATTTAATAATATTTTATTCATATGTTCTTGTAATTTGTTTGATCATTATCTAAACTTGTCTGTATTTCATTTAATAATGTCTGCATTTTATAATATTTTATTCATATGCTCTTCTAATTTGTTTGATCATTCTTTGAACTTGTCTGTATTTCATTTGACACTGTCTGCATTTTATAATCTTTTATTCATTTGTTCTTGTAATTGGTTTGATCATTCTTTGAACTTGTCTGTATTTCATTTGATACTGTCTGCATTTTATAATCTTTTATTCATTTGTTCTTCTAATTGGTTCGATCATTGTTTGAACTTGTATGTATTGCATTTACTAATGTTTGTATGTAATAATATTTAATTCATTTGTTCTAGTCAGAGGTTTGATCATTTTTTAAACTTTATTAATTACTTCACTTTGTCTGTATTTCATTTATTAAAGTCTGTCTGTAATAATATTTTATTCATTTGAACTTGTAATTTGTTTGATCATTCATTGAACTTGTCTGTATTGCATTTAATAATGTCTGAATTTCATAATCTTTCACTCATTTGTTCTAGTAATGTCTGTATTATATTTTATAATATCTGTATTTAATATTATTATATTCATTTGTTATTTGTAAATGGTTTGATTTTGGTTTAAAGTTGATGAAGTAGTTTGTCTGTATAGTATTGATGAATAATGTGTGTATTTATATAAATTCGTCAGTGTATACATATGCATATGCACAGGAAGACGAGGAAGACGATGTTAGTGTGGTTGTTCCGGAAGTGGGCATGAAGTTTGGAAGCACAGACGCGGTGTATGAGTTTTACAAAAAATATGGTAGAACTGTAGGATTCCCGGTTAGAAAAAGAACATCTACCAAGGATAGATCCCTTGTAGTGTCAATAGTGATAGAGTGTTCACGGGCGGGAAGTAGAGGTAGCAAGGCACTAAACTGTTTGAAACCTCAAGCTTCAATGCAAACATCTTGTATGGCAAAAATTAGAGCACGCACTACTTATGATGGCTCATGGGAACTTTCAAAAGTGTTTTTAGAACATAATAACCCCATGAGTCCCACAAAATTTAGACTATTTCGTTGCTATAGGAAGTTGACATCAAAAGCGATGAGACAACTTGCGATTAATGAAGTTGCGGGAATTCCACTTAACAAGAGCTTTAACTCCGTTGTTGTTGAAGCGAGGGGGGGGGGGGGTATGATGCCCTACCTTTTATTGAAAAGGATTGTAGGAATTATATTGGAAAAGTTAGGGAACTTAGGCTAGGAAGTGGTGATGTCATGGCTATACAAGCTTTATTTTTTTCCCTAAAATGCAAGCACAATGTCCCGGTTTCTTCTGTATTTGTCACTATTGTCTGTGTTTTAAGGTTGACGTTGAAATCATGTCAATTTCATACTAATTTATGTTATTGTCAGAATGGATTGTCTATATATGTAGTATATCGTTTGTCGAATATTGTAATTTTTACCCCGCACAGACATTTATATTCTGTTTGTCTCACTATTGTCTGTTTTTTTAGGTTTTCTCTTCACCATGATGAATGGTTGGTCGTGATGTAAAACGAACGTCATCGTTGGGTCCCGTGTTACTTGAAACCGTATTTTTGGGCAGGTATGTCAACCACTCAAAGAAGTGAAAGCATTAATGCCTTCTTTGATGAGTATGTTCATTCTAAAACTAGTCTCAAACAGTTTGTGGATCAATATGGGCGTGCTTTGAGAAAGAAGGTTGAAAACGAATTTCAAGCCGATGGCCTTTCTTTGACTAAAATGATTCCATGTGCTACGTCGTTTGCAATTGAAAAACAAGTGCAAGGTGTTTACACCATAGCCAAGCTCAAAGAGTTTCAAACCCAATTAGTTGATCAATTGTATTGTTATGTCATACCTATGATGGATGGTAAGACATATGAAGTAAAAGAGAATCGTGTCATTAATGGGTTTGATAAGAGTTGGACCTTCATTGTTGAGTATGATATTTCTACATCTAAAGGAATGTGTAGTTGCCACTTGTTCGAGTTTCGAGGCATTTTGTGTAGACATTTTCTTATGATGGCACTAAGATATCAAGTCAAAGTGTTGCCTGATTCTTACATACTACCAAGGTGGCGTCGAGACATCAAAAGATCATACACACGAGTGAAGATCAATTACGATGGGTGGATTACTACGGTCGAACAAGAAAGGTTTGATAAATTGTGTACGACATTTGAGACCCTTGCAAACACCATTGCTGATGATCTCGAAAAATGCAAGAGCGTAATGGTGTGGCTAGAACGGCAATTGGAACAACATAAACCCGCTCCTCCTTGTCATTCCTCTATATGTGGTGTGTTGACACCGTTACCGGTACCGGAAAGTAGTGTGCATGCGGAAGTACCACAACAAATTTATAATCCAAAGTCAGCAAAATGGAAAGGTGCTCCCAAGAAAAATCGTTTGAAGGGGCCTCTGGAAAAGGGAAAATCCAAGTCAAAGGTATGCTGCCCTGCACTTTCATTGTTATTGTACAGACATTATTTATGCCTCCACAGACATTGTGCACATATGCACATACATTTATATCGTACATATGATTCATTTTTTTCCCCAACCAAGTGCGCACAATAAACGATCCAGAAAGGACATTGGTGGATAGGAGTACACTGGAGAGGGGTTCACGGGACAGCCATACACTGGAGAGGGATATGTTGGAGAGGGGTACCATTGTCAATATGATTTGGGTGTAGTCAACAATAGTATGACACTACAATATCAAGACGGTTTAGATTTAAATCTCACTCTCTTTTGAGACATTTACTTATTTTAAATACTTATATTTTAAATACATTTGAATGTTATGTATTTTTGTTTGGTGTAGTCAACATAGTTTATTTCCAACTGATTTGTTGCAAATGTCGAACACAGACAACATATCCACAAATACAGACACATACTATACTATGTGTAAACACAGACAGTGACCACCAAAATACAGACAATATTAATTATTCAGCATAGACAAATTCAAATTTAAAAATACAAACAAATACTATACTATGTGTTAATACAGAATATTAATTATTCACCAAAATACAGACAATAATAATAATCATATCTATGTATGTATCCCAAAATACAAACAATACCATTGGTAAAAACAACTATACAAACAATATTATAGAATTACAGGTCTACATACAAACTTTTATACAATGTTGCATGAATTGCTTTCCAAAGTACTACATTAAAAAAATACAACCTACACAGACAACCGCAAAAAATAACGGCCTACACATACAGTTAACGGGGTCAAACAAAATGCATCTTAGTGTGTACTACGACCTACACAGACAACCACAAAAAATACAGACATTCTTGTAGCTTCGCCACAGACAAAAAATATATGGAAAACACATTGTACAATTATTGTACAACATGGCGCGGCCATTATTGTACAAAATACTACATGTAACCACCATTATCTCAAAAAAACAATATAACCCCCAATGTATTTCTAATATTTACATATACAAAATATATACGTCATTGAACATAATTGTTCATCATCGCGTCTTATGCTTGGTCGTCTTTCATTTTCCATAGTCCTTTAGCAAACTCACGTCTCTTTTTCGGCATATTGGCGTACTCACATCCAGGTATGAACGGGATGTCCAACATGAGGTGCTGTGCAAAACTCAATACCATAATTCCACAATCTCCACTACACATAACACAGACAATATGTATTAGAAGCTATAGTCACATAAGGGAAAAATGGGATGAATGGTTGTTCTACCCTCCCCGTTGTTGAGGGACATCATCCATGGCAACAGCTTGCCACGGGTGGAGGTCGTCTGCCAAGTCCCCTTCTCTTTCCCATGTTATTACCCGTAGTAGGTGGGGGAGGCGTTGCATTAATTCTAAAATGCATGATAAGGTCCTTCCACTTTTCTAGGAGTCATACACTCTTACGCATTTACGGTGAAGGTCAATTTCCACCAACACCCAACGTATATAACAAACTACACAGACATCTCAGGGAACTAATATACACACTACACAGACATCTTAGTAACCAATTATAGAGAAGTGAAAAAAACCACAAACGTATATAACAAACTACACAGACATCTCAAACATTAATTCAAAGAAAAACATACATATGACCATAAAGACAACTCTAAAATACAGACACGTATAAGAGGAAACAGACAACTCTCACAAACTTAGACATCTAAAAACGCCACACAGCCAACTGAACAATGCCATACATGCCACTCTCAATTCGTGTACAGACATATGCATAGTGCATGTTCCATAAATAAATGCATGCAAACAACTCTAATATGCACAAACATATAAGAACTAACTACACAAACATCTTAAAATCACAAAAACAATTAACAACACTACACAGACATCTGAAAACCCAAAAACATGTAAGAACACACTCAAAACGGAATATACACACTCAAATTGGTAAGTCCAAACATGTGAAAAATCGCAGTATAGAAAATACAGTTTCACTCAAAACAAAAACACATTATACACTAAAAAATGGTAAACAAATGAAGCAAATTCACATAATAGCATATACAGAGCCTGAGGTAAACTTTAAACAAGTCATGCATGTCAATACCTCACTGAGAAACAACCAAGAACAAAAAAAAAAAACAGAAATAGAAGTGTTGGCCATCCTCTGTCACTCCGAAATAAACTCAAAACAAGGTTAAAAAAAATACCTTTGAGCCAATTCCGTCAATGAAATGTGCGAACCATTTCCGATAAAGAGTGAAGTGGTGGCAGTATGACTTCTGGACTTCTGGATTTCTTGCAGACACCGGACGGGAGGATGGAAGTATCGGTGAACTTCAATGGAGAGGGGCGGCGATGGAGTGGCTCGGGCGGCGCTGAAGCAGTTCGACGGGAAGATGGCGGTGGTGGGCAAATCGTCTGGGGGAGAGAATCGGTTTCTTGGGGTGCGGGATGCAGAAATGAGAAAACGAAGTGGGGTGGGCTTTTTTTTTAGTAATGCTATGTATACACAGCATTGTACACACCCCGGTTACACAGCACAAAAACACCCCACCCCCCTCTTTTCCACCATATTAACCTCTCCCCTCCCTCCTTCCTTCTTTTCCTTTTTTCCTCTTCCTTCCTGCACCTAAGTTTCCTCTCCCTCTTTCCCTCTTTTCTTTTTTCGTTTCTCACCCAACTTTCCTCTCCCTCTTTTCCTCTTTTCTTATTTCGTTTCTCTCCCTCCCTGCACCCAACTTTCTTCTCCCTATTTTCCACTTCCTTCTCCCTCATACTTCGTATAACTCCTCTCTTTATCTCCTTTTCTCCATGTTTTTTCTTTTCATTTCTTGTATTCTTCATCTCAAAAGCTTTCACTTTTTTTTCCAGGTCTAAATCCGCACAAAAAAATAGGAGTCACAACTTGAATCTACTTTGCTCTCTCAAGTGTTATTCATGAGGTAATATTTTATTTCATAGTTTTTTGTGCATTTAGGGTATATATGTTCCCTTTTTAATTTTGTATATCACATATGCTTTATTGAAATGTTGTTATGATGTTGAATACTAGTACCTATTACACTGTTATACTAAATAGATTTGTGATGTTTATCATTTAAATTTCTGTCTGTATCGCAGACAAAATATAAAGATTTGTCTGTTAAATCGATTTTCACAGACAAAATATAAAGATTTGTCTGTATCGCAGATATTTTAGATTGGATTTTTTCATAAAGTGTCTGTGATACAGACAATTTTTTTTGTATGTGTGAACATCAATTTTTTTCATAAATCGTCACTCAATTTGTCTGTGTATCTGGTTAAATTGTCTGTGTACAGACAATTATCTGAGTGCATCTTGTAAAGTACCAGTAGCTTGTGTATGTTTTCTCTATGACTTCTTTATTATAAGAAATAATTACATTAATATGACCAAAATAAAGATGGTTTACAAAAATATGATTAATTACTAGAGTAGTAATGAAAACATAGTAATTCATGTTCAAGTTTCGAACTTAAGTTACTACAATACTACGTTGTAGTAATGAGTAGTCATATTTATGTAAATAAGTTTTATTTTAGTAATATTGTTGTAAAAAACCCTTATTATAAAGTATCTGTGATACAGACACTCTTTTTTATTTTTGTCTATGTGAAAATCAATTTTCTTCATAAATCGCCACTCAATTTGCCTGTGTAGCCAGTCAAATTGTCTGTGTACAGACAATTGTGTGAGTGCATCTTGTAATCGTCACTTAGTTAAATATATTTTAACTAACAGGAGCTTTAACCATGTGACTGCTTAGGGACATCCTCTACCTCTTCGTGACCAATACTAGTATCTTGAAGGCCTGTGATTGAAAAGTATGTCTCTTTTTCAATCGGGAGCAAGGCATTTGATATTTCAAATCGTGGCATGAAATGGATTCAGAAGGTCAAGAATGAGAGATTTAAAGCAAATGATAATTACAGACTTCATTTTTGTAATTAGTTATCTGTATTTGTTTTGATATTTAATTGTTTGTCATTTGTTTATTAGTTGTCTGTATTTGTTTTGAGTTGTCTGTAATGACTTGTCTGTCATGTTATTGTGAGGTGTCTGTAAGCGTCGGGAACTTGTCTGTAACTCATATTTAGTTGCTTGTCATGAGTTACAGACAAATTCCCGACGCTTACAGACACCTCACAATAACATGACAGACAAGTCATTACAGACAACTCAAAACAAATACAGACAACTAATAAACAAATGACAAACAATTAAATATCAAAACAAATACAAATAACTAATTATAAAAATGAAGTCTGTAATTATCATTTGCTTTACATCTCTCATTCTTGACCTTCTGAATCCATTTCATACAACGATTTGAAATATCACATGCCTTGCTCCCGATTGAAAAAGAGACATACTTTTCAATCACAGGCCTTCAAGGTACTAGTATTGGTCACGAAGAGGTAGAGGATGTCCCTGAAGCAGTCACATGGTTAAAGCTCCTGTTAGTTAAAATATATTTAACTAAGTGACGATTACAAGATGCACTCTCACAATTGTCTGTACACAGACAATTTGACCGGCTACACAGGCAAATTGAGTGGCGATTTATGAAGAAAATCAATTTTCACACAGACAAAAAAAAAAATTGTCTGTATCACAGATACTTTATAATAAAGAAGTCATAGAGAAAACATACACAAGCTACTGGTACTTTACAAGATGCACTCAAATAATTTTCTGTACACAGATAATTTAACCGGATACACAGACAAATTGAGTGGCGATTTATGAAAAAAATTGATTTCACACATACAAAAAAAATTGTCTGTATCACAGACACTTTATGAAAAAAATCCAATCTAAAATATCTGCGATACAGACAAATCTTTATATTTTGTCTGTGAAAATCGATTTAACAGACAAATCTTTATATTTTGTCTGCGATACAGACAAAAATTTAAATGATAAACATCACAAATCTATTTAGTATAACAGTGTAATAGGTACTAGTATTCAACATCATAACAACATTTCAAATTTTCAATAAAGCATATGTGATATACAAAATTAAAAAGGGAACATATATACCCTAAATGCACAAAAATATGAAATAAAATATTACCTCATGAATAACATTTGAGAGAGCAAAGTAGATTCAAGTTGTGACTACTAATTTTTTGTGCGGATTTATATCTGAAAAAAAAGTGAAAACTTTAGAGATGAAGAAAACAAGAAAAGAAAAGAAAAAACATGGAGAAAAGGAGATAAAGAGAGGAGTTATACGAAGTATGAGGGAGAAGGAAGTGGAAAATAGGGAGAAGAAAGTTGGGTGCAGGGAGGGAGAGAAACGAAATAAGAAGAGGAAAAGAGGGAGAAGAAAGTTGGGTGCAGGGTGGGTGAGAAACGAAAAAAGGAAAGAGGGAAAGAGGGAGAAGAAACTCAGGCACACGAAGGAAGAGGAAAAAAGGAAAAGAAGGATGGAGGGAGGGGAGGGGTTAATATGGTGGAAAAGAGGGGGGTGAGGTGTTTTTGTGCTGTGTAACCGGGTGTGTACAATGTTGTGTACACATAGCATTATTCTTTTTTTTTAGCCGCACGAGGCTCAATTCAAATTAGGGGGTGGGGGGTTAAATGGGTTAGAAAAGGAAGGGGGTGAGCTTTTTATGATGTGTATGGTGGTGTGTACAATGTTGTGTGCACAGCATTTTCCTTGAAAAAATGTAATCGATGAAAACGAAATATTACTATGTTTCAATGTTTCATCCCAAGTTATTAGTTGAATAATAGGGAGTAACTTAATTGGAGAACATGTCTACTAATCACTACCCATATCACTGTATACGAAGTCTATTTTAAATATAGTTTGGATTTCCTTTCACGTGTGACATCTAAAGGATAACAAATAATGTACTTTAATTTATTACGGAGTATTATATTCAATTTCAACAAACATGACACATCACAATTCACTTATGAAGATTGCAATATATGTGAAATGATGGGATCTGACATATATTTAGTCAATTAAGCAAAGCTCTTATGTGCGGAGTATGTAGTATTGTTAGACCATTTGGACTTTGGAGTGGCGTGGAATTCAAAATGTCAAAAATAGACTCCGTCCATATGAAAAACTATGTTTTAACTCTTATTTCTTTGCATTCCAGCACCGTCGATAAAATACATTCTGTATATTATTTTTTATATTAATTTAGTAAAAAACATTAATTAAATTATTATAAATAATGTTTTCCTTTTAATTTTTTCTCTGATTAATTATAAAATAAGAAAGACACATTTCGATGTAAAAATAAATAAATTTCATTAATATTTTTTTTGGACAAAATATAAATTAAAAATAAAATAAATTATTTCAACCGTTGGATTTCAATTTCAGCTGTTAAATCAATTTTTTCCACCTTCAAAAAGTGTTCAAATCATCACAACCGATGATCTAACAATTTTTTTTAATAAATTGCTCTTGTGGTGCTCCGTGACATAATCCTGACGTCATCGACTTCATTTTCCTTCTGCGCCGTATTGCTTTTCCTCTGCCAACCGCGGGCCACACCAGCCCCACTCCCCCTTTTCTTTTCTTTTCCATTTTTTCCCAATTGTCAATCCTCCTCTATATTTAGCTCTTTCCGTGTCATTATCCACTTTTACTATCCTCTAAAACTTACCACTACATGAAATTAGGAGTCCAAAAATGTCATTTTAAACATTTTGGACTCCTAATAACTCACCACTCCAACTAGCCTTATGGTCATCTTCAATATATTTAATTGGAGTGATAGATTGAAGGATCAATTTAACTGCTGAGTATTAAAGTTAGCATCGCGTAGCAGAAATAAGAGCAATCTAATTATTTGTAATTTTTTAAGTGATTGCACCTTTTCATTTTTCCGTTTACTTCATCCAGAAATTTTATTATCCTAGATTTTGGCGTTGTTTGTCAATCGGCTGTTAATTGTTGTTAGCTGTTAGTTGATTGTCTCAGTTGCTTGATCACAACTGGTTGTGTTAGCTATTTTGATTGACTGGTTATGTTGACTTGTTATTAATAAATGTTTGGTAAATTAGCTGTTTTTTTGCAAGAAAATTAGCTATTTTGAAACAGCTGTTTGAGTGTAAAAAGACATATAAGGGCACAAGTATTTATAATATTTGAGTAATGCTAATAGTGATAACGTTCAAACTATAATTATTATTTTAGAAAAATATTTTTTTTGAAATTTAAAAAGAATAAATTAATTAAAATAAAACTAAAACAAATCTAAACGTGTATTTGAAATAAAACTAAATATTTTGTTCAAGACAAATAACAGGTATGAGCAAAAGTTAATAGATTAAAATTACAAATCTCTTTATATATATATATATATATATATATATATATATATATATATATATATATATACATATATGTATATAGGGAGCGGATCAGGTGAGAAGTGCTCTTAGGCTGAGAACTGCGAAGTTAAAATTATAGACTAAATATAGGAACTTTTAACCAATAAATCATAACTTATAGACCCGTCCAAAAAAATTCCGAAAATGACACTGAAAAAAAATAATTACGGAAACCTGGAAAAAAATTTGACGCGGTGGCATTTTCGTAATTATTATGGATAGCTTTATAAGATATGATTTATTGGTTATAAGTTTCTATATGTAGTCTATAAGTTTACTGCGTTGTAAGATCAAATGCAAATTCAAAGGCTAAGATTACTTCTCACTTCTCATTTTAAGGGACACTTCTCACCTGATCTTTTATATATATATATATATATATATGTATATATATATATATGTATATATATATATATATGTATATATATATATATGTATATATATATATATGTATATATATATATATGTATATATATATATGTATATATATATATATATATATATATATATATGTATATATATATATATAGACACACACACCCACTTACATGTGTACAAAAATATATAAAAAAAAATTAAAAAAATGTATACAAATATATATTTACATACATAGTAATATATACGAGTGTAATTCACTAATTCAATACACAACACACGATATAAAAATATTTTAATACGGCACTAACAATAGTCTAACAATTAGTTTATTATGGTAGAAACAATTTGAATGCGCACTAGCAATTAATTAGCATGGGAGTAATTCACTAATTCAGCAATCGGCATTGTGGAGAGAGTGGGCCGTCCCGTCTTTTCCTTAATATATTGCGAGCAGCTATTGCAAAATGCTACCCAATGCAACATTTCAGAAAACGGCTGTTTGGTTCAAGAAGTTATACAAAAACAGCTATTTACCAAACATGATTTTCAGCTGTTTGACCATTTCAACCAGCTAAACTTAGTCAAACAAGCTATTTTTTGGCTGTTCAGCCATTTACCAAACATGGCCTTTATCTATCAATAAGAGATTTTTTTGAATGATTTGAAAAACTAGGCGTGTCAATCTGAATAATTGCAAAATTATAAATCTAAAATCTAAAATCCTATGAATAATTTAGATTTTACACAGAATAAAATCTAAATTATTTTATTCTAACATCTCCGCTCCCAGGAGTCGTCTTCCATGCATCAGGCGTTCGAAGTTGTTACCTTTGGTGCCAGACAGCAGGCTGGTTTGCCGGCAGTAAACCCGCAGCAGCAACAGCAGAACCCGGTCGGGCATCAGCTGAACCGGTCGGGTCACAACGACGGCAGAATCAGCCCCAGAGCGGGCGAGGCCGCGGTCGCGGTAGGGGACGCAGTAACCGGGGCAGAGGCCGTGGACCACTGTATGGACAGCAACAGGGGTATATCTATCCTCCCGGTCAGTATGTTTACATTCCCGGAGGGGGTGGTCAGTCAGGTCCAGCCGGATATGCTCCACATGCAAGGGGGTGTGACATCGACGGGTACTGTGCTTTGTAATTCTGCTAGGTCACATTTAAATATTCATGCTTTACCTGTTTGTGTTACAAATGTTGGTTCTGCAGGTTTGCCATCAGATGGGGGTATTCTTGGGTTAGTTCCCAATCCCATTGTCTGTCAAATTTGTTTTTCTACAGGCCATTCCGTTGTCACTTGTCCCTCTCGTTTCACACAGCCATCCACTCCTGCT